TCAGTATGTAGTGTCTCTACTTTAAAGAGTTCTCTCCTGCTGATGTTCAGGTGTATATCAGCATGTAGTGTCTCTACTTTAAAGAGTCCTCTCGTGCTGATGTTCAGGTGTATATCAGTATGTAGTGTCTCTACTTTAAAGAGTCCTCTCCTGCTGATGTTCAGGTGTATATCAGTATGTAGTGTCTCTACATGTCTCCATGCTTTAATGTTGAAAAAGCTCTTTATTGTTCTCATACTGCCTGTGCTGCAGCACCTCTTTTCACCCTCCATCTGAAACCAGAGCCCAGTCTGCTCTGATTGGTTAGCTGGCCGGCTCTGTTGTGATTGGTCAACAGCTTGAGCTCTACATAGTGATGTCACTAAGTTACGGAAGTAAACAATGGAGGCGTTTCATTATGGGGGGGGGGTGCTCCCTCTGGAAGGAACACAGGGATTGTAGCCTTTGCAGACCATTTACATGCACAAAAACCTATAAAACACCCGACAGGAAAGGAAAACCCCAAAACACAGTAAGTGAATATAAAAATTTGACCTTCAAATAATAATCATTGACATAAAGTCCATAACCATGGTTCTTCCCTGACAGATTACCTGGTTACTGAAGGCGAGGATCTTCTCTAAGCTCCCCTCCTCCAGGCCTCTCGGATGGTGGCTACCTGCGGGGGGGGCAGCACTCAGGGTGGGGCTCAGGGGCTTCCCTTGGTTCTCTGCTCCATCTCCCTCTTCTTGAAGGCTCTCTCCCCCCTCTTGAGATATTCTGGATGTGGCAGGGGGAGAGACTGTGTTCTGATTGGAGCTGGTGAGATCCTCTTCTAGCTCAGCTTCCTGTTTGGCAGGAAGTGGAGCTGATGGAGGATCACCATGTGTCCCTGAGTGCAGATCAGTGCTGTCACACAGTGGCAGATCTGCGGGGGGTTGGATAGAGGGGGGTTCATCTCCAGCGGCTGTTTGACTGCATGCTTCAAAAGTGGAGGAGGGGATAGCAGAAGGTGTAGCAAAGACAGGGGGGTTCTCTGGCTCGCTGTCACACGGAGAGGTGATTCCCTGGATCTCTTCTTGGATTTCATGTTGGCCCCTCCCACTGTCCCCATGTGAGGCAGGGCGACTCCTGCTCTCCTCCAGAGGTAGAGAGGTGGAGGTGGACGAGGGTCTCCTGTTCCCCCCCTTCTCTGAAACCTCCGGACTGGAAAAAGACTCAAAGGAGTGGATCTTCTGTTTGATTGACAGGTTGGCTGAAGATGAGGCGGATCTGCCCCCGTAGGTCCTGGTGAAGCCCCCCACTGACCTCAGCTCTGCGGGTTTGTCCTGCTTCTTCTGGCCCTGCTCATTCCGGATTTTCCTCAGACTCTGGCGGAACCAGGCAGGCTTGGGGGCCACCGGGGGGGCCGTCTTTTCTCCTGGAGGAGTCTCACATGTGTTCTCAGGAGTCATATCTGAGGGAGGATCTGAGGTGACATCCGAGTGTGTGCCGTTAACCTCATGTGTGTTCTCCTGGTCGCTCATGGTGGTGGGGTGTGTTCTGTCTGCAGCGGCGGGGTGGTAGTGGAGCACCTCTTCAGGGGGGAGGTCTGCGAGGCGAACCCAGGGGTCCTCAATGCGTGCCTGGGTGAGTTGGTCAATGTGAGGCTGTCTCCTCAGAGCTCCTCTCTTTGACTTTGAGCAGAGCACAGCGTCTGACGGACACAAAGCAGAGGAACGTAGAACAATCTGGTGCTTCTTGTTTTCAAACATGTCACAAACTCATGAGAAGACTTTTTATTCTGTTAACATCCCAATTATTTGATTGATGATTATCCAGACTTCTGCCAGTATTTGTAGGATTATCATGGAGGTCCCCATAAAAGTGTTTTTTCATTCATTCAAATAAATGTATATCAAACTGACCATATCCAACTAAAAAACTCAATTTTAATCAAACTGGTTATGATGAAAATGTAACAAAACTAGACTACAGCTATTCTATGTGAAGCTCAACTCTTACTCCATTAAAGAGGAGCTTTGAGGAAAGGCTGATATGCATATTATCACAATGACATTCAAGACAACCTGAAACCTTGGTGTAAATGAAGCAGCTCAACAGTGCTTCAGAAGTTAGAGCCCATTGCACACATCCTGATAGAATTGTATTGACGGACACATAGGAACCCTGCCTTAAACAGGAAATGGAACTTTAGTAACTGAAATACTGATCCCAAAGCAGCAGGGTCAGCATGCTGTATCAACCAACCGCCTGATTCATCGGCTACCTGAGGTTGCATTCAGGTGCCTAAAGTATATAATGGTATGGTGTGTTACCTGTGTGTAGTCTGTTGCTGGTGCAGGCTGCAGTCCCCTCTGAGTGTTCTCTTAGTCGTTCTCCTTCCTGCTACACAAACAGGAAGTATTGTGTCACACAGTTTCTCTCATATCAACCACAAAGAGGTGCAATAATGCTTCCGCTCTGACACTCATCCACATCACTGCTGCTGCTCTCCCTCTGCTCCATTCAGTAAAAGGCCCAGAACCTGAACAAGCATGATGCTAACAGGCAGCAGCTTCATTGGTGCCCTCGTCCAATTAGATTGGGGGTACTGGTGGAAGGTTGTCATAGTCCACTCATGGACTTTTTCTCTAGTCCTCGTACTGAATTCCATTCACCTCACTGCATTTTAGGAGAAAAATGGAACCTAAGTAGGCAGATTACATTAAGGTGAAGCAAAAATACATGTATGTATTTGATATTTACTGTATTATATTTATCTTCAATTTTAATTGATTGATCATTTAAATAAATGTGAGTGAAACGCTTCAATAAACACTGTGGAGTTCCAAAGGAGTAGAGGTAAAGCAGTAAAATGAGAACGTCTTGTAATATTCCATTTGACACGTCAAAAAAAAAGTGTTAAAGCTGCATACGAGCACATGACATGCACTGCCTTCATGCTGACATGCACACGAATAGTGAAATGTATAAAAACATGCATACCAGGCAACACAGAGACACAAGATGGGTGTTGCAAGTACCATGTTATGCATTTGTACTTATTCATTTATTTAAATTGTTTGCTAATGTTCAGGTTCATATCAGTATGTAGTGTCTCTACTGGGACATCTCTCCATGCTTTCATGTTCAAACAGCTCTTTATTTTGACCTCTTTTCACCCTCGGTCTGACCGCTTAGAGATGACCCGACCCTTAATCTATCATGTACAATGTGTTGGAGAGCTAGCCAATAGAAGTGTGAGTGTTACGTAGCGATGCCACTATGTCACTACGGAAACAAAGGATTCTTACAATGTCTTACCAATCATACAAAAGTGCAGCAGTACACTGAGCTGTGATTAAAGCAAGTGTCTGTAATGTAGACTAGTATAGGCTGACTGTTAAATCATAACCAGGTGTTCAGCATGCTTTCACTAGCACAACACTGAAGCCACATCCCTTCACATACGTTCCTTAAGAGTAACCTCAGGATCTTTCTCAGTGCCTTGTACACACTGCTGAAGAACTGCAGGCAGTGAGAGGAGAGGAAAGAGTTACATGTTAGTCATGGTTAGTCTATTGAAGAAAACATGCATATTACAAGAAATGGTCAGCTAATTCAGAAAGAAGCAGTCCCCTCGCTGTTCCTCACATCAGCATCCATATATGGGCACTGAATTAGAAACTGTTTGATAAACCTAATTAGCTACTGTATCGGAGCAACATCCAACAGACAGTGCCTGGTTTATGTATGCCAAGTAGGATGTGTGAGATGGATACCATGTCCCCATCCCACTTCCTGGTTGGCATCCTAATCCTGATTGGAGCAGCACATAGTATCTCCAATCAGGATTAGGATGCCAATGCAATTCGAGGGACCAGACATATGGAAAGTGAGAGAAGGGGCATGGTACGTTTGTAATTAATGTTTTGACACATGTTGGCACAGAAATGGCAGACAGTGTTAAAACATAACAGTTCTGCTATCGGACACAACTGACAGATACTGACAAAGTTCTGGTTCCAGGTCATGTTTGGGTATTAATTGTAATGCTGGCTTTTGGTTAAGTTCCGTTTCCCTAACCAGAGGTGAGAAAAGTACTCAGATCTTGTAAGTGAGTAAAAGTAGAAGTAACAGAGTGTAGGAATACTCTGTTACAAGTAAACTTCCTACATTCAAAATGTTCCTCAAGTGAAAGCAGAAAAGTATTCTCATCAAAATATAGTGAAAGTAGTGACAGTAAAAGTAGTCATTGTGCAGATTGGTCCATTTCAGAATAATATATATGATATGTTTTATAATGATTGATCATGAAAGTGTTCTCAAAGCTGGTAAAGGTGCAGCTAGTTTGAATGACTTTGTATACTGCAGGGTAGCTTGTGGATTTGCTCCATGTGGAACTAAAGTCTGATTTAACACTTGATTATATTTCACATCATTCATCCACATCTGTGAAGTAACTAAAGTTATTAAATACATGTAGGGGAGTCAAAGTACACCATGTACCTCTGAACTGTAGTGGAGTAGAAGAACAAA